AGCATTCAAGACTTCGACAAGGGGGCAATCGAGGCCCTAAAGAAACTTAACTTCAAGGCGTTTGACTACTATCGCCTACTGAACAAAATGGCAATTCCCGAATTCCCCGTTTGGGCCATTTTCTTATGGCTGGTCTCTCAGGTTCTAATGGAGGACGAATATCGAGTCCGATTACTCACTGATGAAGAATACGAGAAGGCCTTCCAGGAAACAGCTGAACTCATCGTACATGGTCAGTCTTGGTCGTTACCATCTGTTACCCCTGAACGGAGTTGCATTTCCTTCCTTTCGGCCTCATTAAAACGGGATCGTAAGAAATGCCAAGAACCGCCTCCCGAGGAACCGAATCCTCTTAACAAGTGTTGTTGATCGGGTGACCACTTTTGAAACTGCTGTCATTTTTTCAGGACTTTATTTTGGAAGACAAAAATTCCATTTTCAACTTTAAGAAAAGTTATTGATTTTCTGAGAAATAAAGTTTATTTTTTCAGTTTCCGTATTCTCGTATCCGCGCCAGATGCCCGTCCACCAGCTTTGGTTCGAAAGATGTGATTTTAAAAAAGTTGGTGTTCGGAGACTGTCTTTTATCGTCGAACCTTGGGATTATCTGTCGCTTATCTAGTCTAGAGCTCGGAGGGTATAGTGAGAAACCCGTAGTCTTTTCTGAATTTAGACGAGGTTAGCCTGCTTCATTTCTTCTTAACTTATAAATTATCCCACTTGTTCCAGTTTACTTAAAAGGCTAATTGTTCTGTAGAAACACTGCGTCCGACACACTTGAGAAATAAGGACAGCTAACTGCTGGTAGTAAAACTATTCGTATACAGTTTAGGAGACCAAAAAGGCGTGGTCTCAACCCCACAGATATATTATCGTACTTTGTGTTTATGAACAGTTTTTCTACCTACTTTTACGTTTTCTAATTGTGGTTACTGGGAACGGTAGTAAAATATTCAGATTGCAGATCGGAGATGCGTTAAAGAGCATGAGAGACGCTATTACAGTATTCTTGCATTGTGACTAGACTAATAAAATATAACGTCATTTTGCATTGAGTCGTTGAGAAGATATACTGTCGTTCTCAATATCCCAGGAAGAGGAAGAAGAAGAGGGGGCAAATGCTGGGACCAACTTGTATTTGTGCTGACGTTTTGAAAACATGCTCGTTCTCATCGTCAGAGC